GGCTCCAGCATGCCAGAGGTGACACTAAAGCAACCATGCTCAAAAGGGAGTGGGTGGGGGAGGGAAGCTGTCAATGTTTACATATGAAATCCACTTCAATCTTGTTGCTAAGGCAGCAGGCTAGAAAGCAGGAAACCATGAGTTCTAGTTCTGTGGCAGGCATGAAAACTGGTTGGGTGACCTTGGACCTTGGGTGACCTTGGAAAACTGGTTGGGTCTCTCTCTCAGCCCAACTCATCTCACAGGGTTGTGGTGGTGGTGAAAATAGGAGGAAGGTGTGTTGGGTATATGTTCACCACCTTGAGCTGCATCCTGGAGGGCCAGGTGGATTTAATTTGGAAACAGAAGCCCTGGTGGTATGGATGGATCAAAGAAGGCAAATTATTGACTGAAAACTCCTCCTCTTTTAATGGTTATTAGGAATAGAAGGGGACTGAGCTTGAATCACACTGTTACATCTACCATTTGATTTATTTATTTCTCTACTTATCTGACTATCCATCTCAAAATCATTGCTTAGGGCAGTGATAGAGAGCGGGTGCCTAAACTGCAACCCAAAACCCACTTATGTATCCTCGGGTGCCGGGTGGGCGTGGCCCATTGGGTGGGTGTGGCCCTTTGGGTGGGCATGGCTTCAGTGGTAACGGCAGACTGGGCGGGACTAAAAAGTTCAATCAATCAATTCCAACTTTGCAAGATCTTTTTTTTTCTGTGAGAAGTTGAAATTGATTGATTGAACTTTGTTTTTTTTTTGCACACGGTGGCGGAGGCCTAAAGCAAAAAGGTTTTATAAAACCTAGCTGAAGGCCTAGGACTGGGGTGACGGTGCACGTGCCCGCAGAGAGGGCTCTGCGTGCCACCTGTGGCACACGTGCCATAGGTTCGCCACCACGGGCTTAGGGTTACTAACAATATTTTAAAGTAGCATGAACCATTAAAAAAAGGAAATAACACACATATAAACTCAGCTAGGGTAAAAACGATCTCACTGACAAATCAACATAAGCATTTTATGGACTCAGCCACATCTTCTGAGACCCAGACCGGTGACCTTTTGCCTTTTTGGACACCCCTCTCCCCAAAGATAAAAAGGCAGCAGAAGGAAGATTTCTAGACTAAGATAAGCAATAACATGACATGGGGCTGGATTATTTGAGAGACTGCCTCTCTCCAGGGACATCTACCCATCCCATCAGGTCCAGCAGAAGAGACTTGGAGCGAGTACAACTAGAGAGTGTCATCTGAAGGGACCCAGAAGGATGGTCTTCTGTGCTGATACACCCACCTCTAGAATATATTTCTATAGAACATCATTCCCTCGGAAGGCCAGGCTCATCCTGATCCTGCTGGCGTTCCAGAAGAATATGAAGACCTACCTGTAATGGCTCCCTTGAGTGCTGGCTCAGACGATGAGGAAGAGGTGGTTCTGGGAACATTTGAGCAGGACTATGGGGAGCACTAGGGGGATATGGAAGACTCCATGGTAGTCAGATGGTTGAGGCAAAGCAGTCCGGCAAATGTTGGGGTAATCAGGAAAGAGCAGTCAAACAGCCAGCTATGCAGTCTGGAGAAAGGGAGTGCCTGCAGCCAGTCAGCACAGACAACCAACCAGTTGCAAGGCCTGGAGAAGAGACATAACTGCAGCCGGTCAGCACAGATGATGAGTTGCCACCGCACACACATACACATCTTGATCCAAGATCACGCAGAGCTGAGCGGAAGGCGGCGCAATGAAGGTTGGCGAAGCTACTTGTGAGGAGGCAGTCTCTCCTCCTAATGAAGCACACCAGTTGGCCCCTATTTACCTCGCAGTTGGCCCCTATTTACCTCGGTGTTTGGCGGTTGTCAGAGACAGCTGTCCATAATCCAACTAATTTGGGAATACTCTTGACTCGTTGCCTTGAAATTGTGGAGATTGTGTTGCTTTTGTCATAACTTGGAACCGCTGGAGTTAGGCTGCCTTGATTCTGGCAAGGATAGCCAGGTGGCATTGGGAAGTGGCTATGGGCCAGCAAGAGTAGCCAGCAGGTGCTTAGAAGTGCAAACAGTCAGAGAATGCTATGGAATATGAGATACCTGTGACCTCATATTCTGTAGTGGGGCTCCTTGAGAGAAAAAGTGGTGGGGGCAACTTACTGGAATGACTTGCAACATCCCTGCTGGCTTTCCCATTGACTTTACATGTGGGAAGCTGGCAAGGAAGGTTGCAAATGGTGATCATGCGACTGTAGCTCACTGCAACATCGTAATCGTGAGCCAGGCACCTGGGATGCAATCATTGACCAGGGAGATGCTGCAATGCCACCACAAGTCCTCCTTATTTGCTGCCTTTGTAATTTTGAGCAATAGCTGAACTGTTCAAAACTGTATTGATAGTCCCCGTTTAACCACCATTGGGACAAGCTACTCTATACGTGACATGGTCATTAAGCGAGATCGGTGACTGGTATGTGGGTCACAATCTGAGTTCTGCTAGGGCCACTGAGCCCTTTGCCCACAGTTGTTAAAGCAAGACATCACATGACTTTGACTTGCGATTTTACAGCCAGTTCGTCCATTGATTCTGCTTGTTAGAAGCTTGCTGTGAAGTGTGTAAATGGTGATCGCGTGCGGGATGCCACAAGTCATAAAACACCCACCGGTTTTGCATACTATTTAAATCTCCACCATGTGACTTCAAGGACACTGCTCCCATTGTATGAGGACCCGTAGTAGTTACTTTTTCAGCACCATCATAACTTTGAACAATGCTACGTAAGGCAGTTGTTAAGTGAGGACTACCCGTACTGTTCTTGAATAAATGTGCTCTCCTGGTGACTGTGTTGTATAGTTTTTAAAAATAGTTTAAATTGTCTTTAACCTTGGTATTGTTGGTAGGGTTACTTTATTTTCTTGTTTGTTTTGGTAGTGTTGATGCTTCTTTGTGATTGTAAGACTCTATAACCAGAGTCATGAAGGTGAGATGAGTGGTTATAGGAATGGAATACCAACGTAACTGCAACAACCGAAGCTAGATTTCTAAATTTTTTTTTCATTATTTGCACCCTCATCTGACCAATTGTCTTGCTCAAGTTTTCAAAGTACGATGAAATGCTTATTACGCACTTGACTTTTCTCAATGTTAAGCTTGTGTGATATTAGCTGAAATAAGAACAGGGGCCAATACTGCACTCCTACCCTTTCCAGTTCCTAAGAAAATAAAGGGTATTAGGCAAGCGAGTAAAAAGAAGTGTTGTTTTGCAACTGCCTGAAAAAAATAATCCCTGCAACCTATCACAACTTACCTCCTTAAGACTAATCCATTAATGGCTGTATTTCTCCTGCTCCTAGTTTGAACCCCCCCCCCCAAACAAGCCCTATCCTCAGCAGAAGAGAAGGAACTAGGAGTGAGGGCAGCCATGCGTGAAAACATCTGTTGTAAATTCTGTACTATCCCTTCTCAGGGAGATCAGCAAATGACTTTTGGCCTTTTAAGTTCAAGGAGAGGCCCATCAGCAGAAGTACACTCTGATTGATGAAGGGGATAGGAAAGAGGTCTGGTTGTGAGAGGCCATTAATAACCTTAAGAGAATCAGTTCACCATCAAAGTCAAATTGCAAGGCATTTTACAAGAGTGTATACTGCTTCAACCTACTTCCAGTCTAGCTCTGCTCTTATTTCCATATAAAATCTGCCTATTGCTCAGTTAGCTATGTGTAACAGGTTTCTAAATTCACTTTCTAATCATTTACCCAATATTTATGTAACTAAGTGAAACCAGAAAAACGTGTCTCCGTCACTTTCCCAGATCCTTCAGAAACACGCTGAACTGTTCAGAATAAAATGGCTGTTTGCTATCACAGGGATATGGCATTTCAGCTTGTATTTTTGCACTCCTTTCAGTGCAAAATCAAGGGAATCGATCAAATTTTGACAAATCTGTCTCATAATGGGGTCTATAACTTCTTTTTAAAAGCTGTAATCTGCTAAAATGGCTCTGTGATTAAATTATATATTATATTGCCATACAGTCTACAGCATATGATGATCTGTTTTGTACAAGCACATAGAGTATAGCAACCTTGTTTTATAATCCTGGAGAATCAATACATATTTAATTTAGAAATGTTGGCTTATTAAAGCCACAAACATAAACCCAGACAAAACTCTAGAGCAGGGGTGTCAAACTACCGGTCCACGGGCCAGACACGTCACGAGGAAACCGCGCCCACCTCGTTGCCGGCAATGGGGGGAAAGTTCCAATACGTCACGCGACATCACGCGATGTCGCGAGTTTGACATGTCTGCTCTAGAGTATCTTACACCAAAAGATGGGTTATGGCTTTCAAAAGGACATGCATTCATGCAGCGATAGGCTGAAGCATTTCTCAAATTGATCATTCTCCTTCTGAAATAAATACATTTTGATGTAAATATTTTATATTTTTACATATAAGTACAAAATTTGAATCTCCCTGGGCAGATCATCAAGAGTCTCCATTATAAGAGCTTAAATATGTGCACTAATTGAAGACAGATGGGTGAAAAATGACTATTCTAGTTTTCTGGGGTGGTGTAAGGCAACTCAACTAGAGCACCAAATCTTATCTTACCTATCCCATCTCCTTAGAAGGCATAACAGGCACATGTTCCAACTCTACAGGCTATAATAATTGATCATTATACGAATAGATGCTATCTTCCTATGCAGATTGCTTCCTGTCAGAGTGTGAATGGAACAGTCTGAACTTTGTGGAGGAAAAGGATATGAGTAGAGTGAATAAGTAATAAAACACACCCAGTGTGTTTTCAGGTTCTGGACTTGGACCTATTTGATCTAAATTCAAATCCATCCTCAGTTACTGAAAATCATAGTGTGATTGGAGGCCAATCATCCCCACTTACCTCACTAAGTAGAGTTTTTGAGGGGTGGGGATGAAAAGTAGAAATGTTCATGTTAAGTCACTTTAAACTCCTTGATAAATAGTGGAATATGCATGTAAAAAAGAAAACCATAAGTAGCAAACAGGTTTATTGTGCCAGCATTATCTATTAGGTATGCCAGCACCAATGAACTTTTTATTTATATAAGTAACAAAGCAATTTGCTCCAAAAATATAAACACCTGAATATACTGTGAACATTGGTCTTACATACAAGAGTTTACACCATATTAGGTAAGGTATGATTTAGTAATTTTGATTTTGTACTGTGCTGTACTTTCCTTTCTGTACTGTATTGCAGAGAATTGTAAAATATCGTATTGTATATTTGTATAGACAACAAAATCAAGATAAACAAACCCTTAAGAACATATTGTTGTCCAAGCAAGTAGTTATTTTACATATATATATTCCCAATATGCTGTTTTACATAACTAATAAGATGCAAACATTCAACTCTTGGACACAGTTTGAGAAATAGAGGAGATGCTCTGACAACATATAGGGTACATAAAAAGCATTTACATTCTTCACCATTTAAGCCAAATATCGGTCTCATTTATTCTAAAGCATTCTAAACTCAACAAAAATTAACATGAAACAAGCTTAATCTTTATTCTTATCACTAAGTGGAGTATTTGGGGAATAAAATGCTAAAATAACGATTTTCCAGCTCCTTCTTTTGCTAATCGATCAGCTGCTTCATTTCCAGGAAAGCCAGCATGACCGGGAACATGCATCTGTTGATAATAAGAGTCCAAATTAATTACTCCATACATATAACAATGTGTGTTCTACAACTATCTGCAATATTCACTTATCTTCTTCTATGCCTTATGGTGTAGCATTCATATCACAGGATCCAAAGGAATATACTGTATAGCTTGGTACAGTACATGAACTCAGCTGCAGATTTCAAATAAATCTCTTTCCTTTGGGTTGACATGACCCATTTTACACGTTGCTATTCATCAGAGCTACGTTAATCAGCAATCTGTGGAATTTCTTTAAAACTTCAGTCAGTTTTTAGAAGAACATCACTTACCCACTGGATGTCCATGCCTTCTGAAAGCTTAGCAAGCCTTTCAAAATCTTCTCTGTTTGTTACTTCTTTTCCTGCACTGGTTTTCCAACCGTTAATCTTCCAGTTTGGGATCCAGCTTGTCACACCTATCAAAAAAGTGATTGCTACCGTAAGACTAATTTGGATGACTGCTTCAGAACCTCTGGGGCTATCTGCTGAAATTCTCCTCTGCCTCTCCATCTGAAACAATCCCACATGACTGAGCTGATCCAAGAGGCGAACCATTTGATAAACCAAGTTGCTCGGTAGATAGTCCCTAATATTGGCTCAAGCTAGTTTGTCACTGCAATCCAGACAAATCATATACATTCTACTCCATTTGTGATCTTCTATCATTTAGTTTGGGGTCAGCTGCTTCTGCGAGTCAGAACAGCACTGCTAATATCAAATCTGACATCTGGATATCTCACTGCAGTTATTCAATCCTGATTCCAAATAAAAGTTTATTCAGACAGTTTCTTTATCAACTCATCACTACCCTCTGCTTCCAAAAGCTGAAGCAATTTATTGATTTACTTGGTTACCATTAGCTACATTTTCATCACTTTTCTAAGGCTCCAGTGATGATCTGATCTTTACCCTGAGCAATTCAGCATGTCACTGAATGTCAGACCATAGCGTAGGACTGAATGAAGGCAAATTGAAACGTGATGAATCCTGACAGGTGATAATGCCTGGCAAATCTCATGCCAGGGTGGTGGTGATGGTGGGAAGTGGGGCAGGAGGCAGAGAGACAAAAGAGAAACAATAGCAGCAGCCTCCAGTCATCCCAATTCTACTGTCAACAACGTATATCTTGAGAAAAGACTATTTCATGCTTTTAACTAAATGGAAACACAAAATACACATGTATAAACCATATTTAAAGATATTGTACGATAACCCAAACCGTATCTTTAGGAAATGGCAAAAGAATATACAGGTAGTCCTCAACTTGCAACAGTTCGTTTAGTGATCATTCAAAATTACAACAGCACAGAAAAATGTGACTTAAGACAGTTCCTCACAGTTACGACCATGTTCCCGTGATCAAAATTCAGATGCTTGGCATCTGGTTCATACTTAAGACCGTTTGCTGTGTCCCAAGGTCACGTGATCCCCTTTTGCGACCTTCTGAGAAGCGAAGTCAGCGGGGGGATCCAGATTCACTTAACAACTGTGGCAAGAAAGATCGTAAAATGGGGCAAAACTCACAACAAACGTCTCACTTAACAACAGAAAGTTTGGGCTCAGCTGCGGTCACAAGTCGAGAGCTACCTGTATACAGTTGAAGATAAAAGTAAAAAAGATAAAAACTTCCTCAGGTCCAGCTTAACATCTGGTGGCTAGATGGAGAAGTCCATCAGAAGCTGTTAGGATAGAAATATAATTTTTACCTTTATCCATGCAATAAAACTTAAACTTAGGTGTAACTCCAGTCTGGAAACTATAAATCAATCAATCTCTCTGTTCTGAACTCAAGGACTAACATGAGCATGAATACTTCCAATCAAATTCTTAAATAATCTGAACTACTGCAAAAGGAATTTGGACTGTCTAAAGTTGCAAAATGGCAGTATACTCCATCAAAACCTCTTGATTTTACAATTTGGACTAAGTGCATCAGCAGCCACTGATCCCTAAATTACAAACTGCATTGAATTTGGTTTTGATTAATGGTGTTAACAACAATAAATGTTTTTTTTACAATATTAAGATAATTCAACAAAGGATTTTTTCCCCTGTAATTATTAGACACCCCAAAGAATGGTTTAAAACAATTGTCAAATCCACTGTGCTAGAAAGATAAAGGAGATGCTTGCTCATATGATATAGGCTTGTTCCATTTTGATGCAATATTCAGAAATTTAATACAGTTTTGGATACAGCAATACACTTTAAAAGCATGGGTATGTTTCTCATATATATATAAAAATTGGTATTTAACATTAACATAAACAAATAATGGAGACTAGCCAAAAACAATTAATTCTTCTTTTACAGTTCTTTTACAATATTGATATTTGTTTTCTGTTGATGAACTAGCTCTCTGATCACACAATGAAAAGACTGATTAATACTACTTTGCACGGTCAAGATTTAATGCTATATTTACATGCAGAGCCATGCACTTGCTTACAGCAATATTCAATGACCTGGGAATACTTGCATAACTATACATTTTTTTTCATCGTATTTTACTAGTATCTGCAATCTCACTTTGCTGGGGTTTTTTTGTACAGGAAGAAGCTGTGTTTAAATACATGCAAAGGAGGCCCTAGGTCTCCTTGAGGAAGCAATGCAGGTCATTAGAATCTGCTTCTCAAAAGATTGCAGGTTTTGTACATAGACCACCATCTTTGTCCAAATATAAAAAGACATACAGCAAGCGCTCTGTAAGTATGACAACACCATACAGAAAATTTCATCAAGGGCAATCAACCATAGCATATTTCATTTCAGACCCCATCTCCTTGCAGGAATATTATATATTCTTTCTTTTTGGATTTATGTTGATGTGCTTTAAAAAAAAAAGGTAAAAAAACAAGGAGCAAAATAATTTCAAACATTTTTAATTGCAGTTTTGGGAGTATCCACCAGGAAAGTAGCTAGGCCCTGATTGGATCTCCATTATACAGTTGCAAGAAAAAGTATGTGAACCCCTTGGGTTAACGCGGAGTTTTGCATGAATTGGTCATAAAATGTGCTCTGAACGTCATCTAAGTCACAACAATAGAAAAACACAGTCTGCTGAAAATAATAATACACAAACATTACATGTTGCCATGGTTTAATTGAACGTAACATGTAAACATTCACAGTGCAGGGAGGAAAAAGTATGTGAGCCCCTAGCCTAATGACGTCTCCAAGAGCTAATTGGAGCCAGGAGTGAGCCAACCTTGACTCCAATCAGTGTGATATTCGATGTGTTGCTGACAGCTGTCCTGCCCTTTAAAAACACACACCTGTTATGGGTTTACTGGTTTCAAGAAGCACTGTCTGATGTGAACCATGCCTCGCAGAAAAGAGCTCTCGGAAGACCTACGATCAAGAATTGTTGACTTGCATGAAACTGGAAAGGGTTACAAAAGTATCTCCAAAAGCCTTGATGTTCATGTGTCCATGGTAAGACAGACTGTCTACAAATGGAGAAAGTTTAGCACTGTTGCTACTCTCCCTAGGCGTGGTTGTCCTGTAAAAATGACTGCAAGAGCACAGCGCAGAATGCTTCTTGAGGTAAAGAAGAATCCTAGAGTGTCAGCCAAAGACCTACAGAAATCTCTGGCACATGCTAACATTTTTGTTGACACATCTACAATAAGGAAAACATTAAACAAGAATGGAGTACATGGGAGGACACCACGGAGGAAGCCATTGCTGTCCAAAAAACATATTGCAGCACGTTTGAAGTTTGCAAAAGAGCACCTGGATGTTTCACAGCACTACTGGCAAAATATACTGTGGACAGATGAAACCAAAATTGAGTTGTTTGGGAAAAACACACAACACTATGTGTGGAGAAAAAAAGGCACAGCACACCAACATCAAAACCTCATCCCCACTGTAAAACATGGCGGAGGGAGCATCATGGTTTGGGGCTGCTTTGCTGCCTCAGGGCCTGGACGGATTGTTGT